CCAATTACAATAACACTCATACGTGAAGGTCAAAGTCGAGGCAGAAACGAATTCATTCAATTTACTAACTGAAGCAACAGCTCATTTGTTGGCAGATTAAAGGCTATAAAGCGCCCACATAGGCACATCAGTCAGCAATTACTTAAAAGGGAACAAACCACAAACAATACGACTAATAGCGCATAGCTGAAAGGGTCGTAAATATTATAGAAGCGTAAAAAACCCAGCAACATGACTTAATATGCTTGACAGCCAGAAATACACGAACACGCCAAACTGTTATAAATATATTAAACGATTAAAGAGCGCGCTATTAAATACACTTATCTGAGGCAACATGGCCCACATGTTGCAGTGTGACGCAGAACGTTTGTAGGCGGTCGAAGAGAAAAGTGCACGGCAACTTCCCAGCTGAACTAACTAAGCTGCATGCCCATGCAAGAAGCAGAGCGCCATGACTGTATGTGTATGTGCGTGTGAATGAATGTGGGTGTAACAGCGGCGCCTTCACGGCCGACATACACATAAGTGCTAGTAAACTACTCCCATACATACGCACACACACAAATATACTATATATCTATGTGTACTTGCACGCACGAAGCGCCGCGTGAGCAGCGCGCATGACAGTTGACCTTCAAAAGAAAATTCTGCAGCCATATTGTTTTTACCCCCAGCTGGCAGCTTCGCATTACAGCTTGACGTGTCGCGTGAACTGTTGCTCGACACTTTTGCTGGGCGGCGCCATATTGTCAGCTCGACTACACTTCGTTTTGCTGGCAGCTTGCGCTCGCTGCTGAGCGCCGGTGTTCACTTTGGTACGCCATGACGAAAACTACCATGGCGGCCACATTGACTTCCGTCGGCCATTGTGCCTGGAAGTGATTTTCAAACAGAGGAAAATGCAGAAATTCCGTTAAATGGAGCAACATTTTTCGGCACAATAGCGCCTTCTGTCGTCGTTGCTGAGCGCCTGGTTGTGGCGCCACAATGCGCAACGCGCGTCTTGTAAGCTCAAAAATCGATGACTTGCGCGTTGCACAGTGTGCACAGTTGGGGATGCCGCATCAGCTGGTTGCTGTTATTGTTGCAGTTGAATTTTATGGTCGCGACAATGCGACATGAAGGGCTGCTGCACGTTTGTTGCTGTCAATGCAGCTGGTGTGCATTTGGAAGTGCGTTAGTCATATTATTCATGATAGGGCTAAATTTTGTGTGATCACAACATGCGTACAAGTATTTCTGATTCTATTTAGCGTAAATATAGACAAGTTCACTTTCATAGCGCTGAATAAATTCAAACCTAGTATATTATCTATTCAGTCACACGTTTCGCCTCACTTTAAGTAATTTGTTGCATTTTTGTTTGCGAATACTTGGCAATCCTAAACAGCCGTTATGTGTGCTTCAATTTGCTCATGTTTTCATTAGTGAACAAATCGTTAATGGCGAAAGAATCAATGAAGTTGCGAGCGTTGCACATAGGCAGCCAGAAATTAGCAGGAGGTAAAATCCACAATGCAAAGCAAAACTTTCAGTTGCCAGACGAAACGCCAGCAAATTCCGCGCACTAACGGCAATTGCATTCTGTGTTCGCAACTTCATGACAGTGCAGAACGTTTTATTTGACTTCAATGTACCATATATTGGAGAAGACTTTTTTCGTGAATAACTTAAGGCATACACAATGAAACAAATTGTCGAACATGCTTTTAAGTCGGATTTTGAACAATTAATTCGTAAACCAACAGCTAGTTGATAATTTTATTAAAATAAATAACAAATAGAATATATTGTGTTGTAAGAGTCAATACTCATAAATGATTGGTTTTGACGGAAATGCTTGGTTCAGCTTTTGATGCTGCGGGCTGATGTGGCCAGCTAACCTCGAAAAAGGCACGGCAGATAATGATATTGTTAATGGAAATGCAATTTACATGAAATCGCAACTACAAATATAAATATCACTGCTCTGTTTTAATTGCAATGCGTTTGTGAGCAGGAAAATTAAAAATCACTTAAGCCCAAGGCCATCTGCCGCGTTACTTGAATAAAGCACAGCACAACTATCAAAGGAATCACCGCATATAACGAGCAAGAAGTGCCTATGCGTCCGATCTAATTAATCAAAATTGATTATAGTATTAGTATAAAAAAGGCCAGCGGCTTCCGATCGCTTCTTAAGAAGTTGAAAATGCTTTCTCAGCGAACAATTTCCACAAAAATTGAAAAGACTGGGAAATTGCGTTCAGCATCATCCAACAAACCTGAAAAAATGCCATTAAAAATTCTAACACACCAATAAAGCAACGCTTCGCTGCCTTAAGCCAAAAGTTTTACAAAGCATTTTTTAAGAAACTAAAAAAGAAAGGTGTTAAAAAGTAAAAATTGTGAAACTCCCACCAAGCTCGACGCAGCGTTGCACTCCACAAGACTTTCCATGCGGTAATAAATCAAACCCGCAACCTTCAAGCGATGCACTTAGCACACACACATACATACACCCAAACCTCTAAGTACGAACACAGGGAAATGAGTTCTCTGGCTGTTGCTGTTTGTCTTTTTGTTGGGCTTTAAAAGTGCGGCAGAACAAAGAACGTCCGAAGCTGTGAGGTTTTCTCAGGGTATTTCTCGCGCTAAGTGAAGTAACAATAAAAGTTTTTGTTGTGCATTGCGGCTGTACAGGGATCACAAAGTGCTGTGAGATGGTCGCTGGTGTTTGGACCAGCTCGGCTAAAATTAACAGGTGTAATCGAATCACTTTTTTGGAAGCGGATAAACGAGCGCAACTATAATCGATGAGCGCAATTATATTGTGGCTGTGAAGAATTATTGAGAAGTCAAATTTATAAACGATTTATCGATTTCCGAGTCAGAAAAGGTCTAATTAAAATTTGTTCGATAAAAAAAACTAATAAAGAAAAAGTTGTTGTAGGTGCAGAGTTATATAAGGGTAAATTTTCGTGCCTCTGAGCTAATATCTGTTCAACCATTAGAGATCCAAGTTAATGTAAATTGCACAACCGTGCAGTCTTACACTTATATATACACACACATCTACAAATATAAAAACAAATTGATTTTTTCCATTTCCTCAATGTAAAGAGAAAACCGTGGACGTTAATGCGACTGGTTTTTAGGCAGACATAATGAGCCCACCGAATTTCGTTTTTCCGGTTCACATTTTCGCATAAATTTCACATCAAACAAACATTAGCTGCTCTCGCAGACACGCACACATGCGCGCACAGAAACTATTACAATAAAAATGTAAAAAAAAAATTTAAGTAGCTAATGAAGCTTCAATCCAACGCTGAAATTATAACAAATGATGGACACCATCAAATGTATCGACAACAACAAAAACAACTGAGCAACTAAAATTACTAAAATCCACACCACAAACCGAAAGTGATGATTTTCTTGGCAGTCAAAGTACACAGCCCTGTAACTAGAAACGCCATTTACATACCTCAAGCTTGTTGCTTTCATTTTCACTCGAAACGCCTAAGACGGAAAATGCAGGTCCAATTAAGCAGCCGACTAGCTAACAAGTAGCCAGCACACCTCAGAAAAAGCTAACAAGACCGCTTCATAACTAACCTATGCTACTAAGCCACCAACCGCAGCGGCCCGCAAGCTCTAGCGTCAGCGCGTGGCGTACCGTTAAGTCAACAATTGATAAGCGACAGCCAACAAGTGGGGCGAGCGTACAACAACAATGTGCACACGAGTGAAGCGCCGAAGCGCGAGGCAGAGCGACTGGTTAGCCAGCCAAAAGGTTGACCTTTTCCGCTTCTCAGTACACAAATTGGCCAGCTCATTTCGTGCACAACCCGCATAGCGATCTAACAACAACAACAACAGCAGCAATAGCAACCACAAATAAGCGATAAGTGCAGAACAACCAACAACGATATGTACGAATAATGTGTTCACACACTCATGCGGCTAGTTGTCGGTGAGGTTGTTATTGCTGTTGTTGTCAGCATTGACCACGCTGACTTGGGCCGCGCCGCCGTGCAAGCTCACTTGTGCAACTGCAGTCTGGCGGATTAGCGCTGCTAATCTGACGCTGTCGCTACTGCGGTTTCTATATACACACACCCATGTGTATATGAAGAGATTACGGTGTTTGTTGTTGTTGGTTTCTCTTTCCTATGGTTATACATCCAAGAGTATTTGTTTGCTTTGCTGAGGTGTCTGGGTCAGTAGTAACAAGTTGTTGCTGGTTGTTTTGTTGTTGTTGGCTTTTGGCATGCTGCTGCTTGGTGGGGCGCTGAAGAAACTAATGACCTTAGCCACCACACTTCGGTCGCAGTTGGGCCAACTCCGTTTCGTGTGCCCCAAACAAGCAAATGAATTTGGCATCCAAAACACACAAACCCGCACACACACACAGAGAAAGAAAAAAAAAACACGAATTGGGAGAAATATAAATTTCGAAAGATGGTGAAGCTGGCAGCCGGCACTTGGTATTGGTATGTTATCAAAAATTCATGCATCACGCGGTGCCAGTAAACTCTCTCTTTTCGAGTCCATCGCATCCAGCAATAAGGTGTCTTTCTAAATTAATATAACCGCAACAACAACATGCTCAAAATGGGCGGTCATAGAAACAATGAAATATTGATGAACCGTTATGGTGGAAAGTAAACGAATAAATATAAAAAGAATTCGTCATTAGATTCGAATGAGGCTTTGGCCGCATCTACAGAGTTTTCAATATTCGGCGCTTAAGAGTGGATATTTCAATCTTGATTCCATGAACTTTGCTTGGTTCAATTCATTTCACCTGAATAATAGTTAAAGTCTCAAGAGTACGGTCAAGAAAATCTTTTAAAAATATAATCTGCAACATTTTCAAATTGATATATTCTTAATTATAGCACTAAATTCTTAAATAGACTAAAGGCCTTGAAACCACCGGACAGAATGTTATAAATAACTTACTGGAAAGTTGTTGCCAAAATCAATAAATATTAACAACTAATACTTACCATGCGGCTCCGTGACCGCCTCGTGTTCCTCATCAGCTTTTTTGTGCTGCTGTTGTTGTTGTATTTTTTGCTCCCTCTCCTTGCGCTCCTCATCGGACCACGAGCAATGCACTGCACCGTCGCGATGCAAGTTCAAATTCTCAATTCCTTCTGGTATCTCCAGTTCATTGAAAATGTGCCTCTGCCCAGCAGCAGCCACCTGCTGATAGAGCACCATGAATTGGTACAGCAGCGCCCAGGCCTGCTCCTCGGAGAGCGGTGACTTGAATGAATCCAAAATTTCCTTCAACGTCACACAGTTCTCCGAATTCGTGCAGAGACAGACAGGCGGTGGCATAGGCACCACTGCATTTGTGGACACCGCTGTGGCGTTTAGTGTGGTGCTACTGCTGCCATTGCATTTGCCATGAAGCGATTGCTCGCCCTGGTTGCTGTCCGGCGACGTCGAAAGGAAACCTTCCTCCGTGTCGGAATTGATGGTGAGAATGGGCGCTAGCTTTTTATTTACTTCCAGTCCAGCGTGGAGCTTCGTGCTGACCGCATTCGCATACGTCTCACCTAGGCGGCTGTCCATACAGACACCTCTACCACCGCCACTGTCGTCCACCTTCTGGCTGTTGGTATTGGCGCTATTGTTGTTGTTTTCCTCAGTCATAGTTGTGATATCGAAGCACTTTACTTTTGTTTCAAGTAATTGTGTTTAGTTAATGGATTAGTTGGATTTACATATAAATGGTGAATCGTCGTTCGCTCGATACGTAATCGTTGGGTCGCTCGGGACGGTTCACTTTTGGAGCACACAAATTTTTATCCTGTACGCAGACACACATATATAATTTCTTAGCACAAAATTTTACACTAACACTTGTGGTCAGGTTTCTCACAAACATTTTTTTTAACTTCAATTACATTCTCTAATTTGGGTATAATCGTTGGTCTACTACGTCAGCCAGACCGTCCGACTTTGTATTTAAATGGGTTGTTGCGGTTGTTGTTGTATTGCTTATGTCTATTGTTGTCGTATGATGGTCGATTTGGCATAGAATTTATGCACCGCTTCACAAATAAAAGAGAACAAACAAAAATTTTCACAAAAATCAGACACAAAATCAAATCAAGTTTGGGAATAAAAATGGAATTTTCGTAAAAAGGTATTTATGCAGTTATTTCTCTGTTCACTGAACACAAAAAGCAATCAAAATTGTTTCCTAAAAATTACTACACAAAAACAGTGCGATAAAGTAGTTGAGCAAGGTTTGTAGTTGTTGTTGGTTCTATATAATTAATAATTTTACAATAGCTAGTTTGTCAATTTAGATTAGTTTTTCGGTTTTGCCGTTGTCTTGCTGTTGTTTCGGTGTTGTTTTAGTATTTTATTTCCATTGGAATATTTATGAAGTCCGTTAGTTGGCGTATGATTCACGATGAGACTCGTGAATGACGCCTGCAAATGCTCATCGTTATCTATTGCGAACGCCCCTAGTTAAAAGGTTGGGTGCGAAGAATTTTCAAATGCGAAATTTCGCAGCAAACGCGATTACACTGATTACTATAATTATGAGAATAATGGCGAGCAAAAAAATTGCGAAATTATGAAAATAATATTTGAACTGGGAAAACACTTTAAAAATCACTTATTTTGGGCTTAAAATCAAAAATCAAAAAATAAGTGCAAAATTCGAAAATTTCAATCAATAATTATGTATATTTTCCTATAGAAAAGCTTTGCGAATATTATTTGCACAACAACAAACATGTATTTGCATTACTAAGTTTTGTCGCAAAAATTTCAGCCATGTCCTTTTAAACTATTTTGCTTTAAATTTATCGATTTTCCTTGAGCATGTCCTTGTTGCGTTGCAATGTGCTTAAGCTCATGATGAGGTTTTCATTGAGCTGTCAGTGCTTTGCGTCACTTTTAAAATTAACCAGCAATAATGTTTAATATTTGCAATGTAAACACCAAGTGTCAAAAGAAAAAACCGTTGTAAGGTAACGAAAACCAACAACAAATAACAAACAAAGCGTTCATGCCACATATCCTGCCAGCTGTGGCAACTGCACACTCATATCCGCAAACGAGCGGACACACGTACTCGAAGGTATATAGTATCCATGCGCAACCTTGAAGCGTTTGAGCTTGTCAATTTCACACTAAAACACATACTTTTTGCCTGCGAGTATTTGCAGCTAATTTACTTTTGTAATTTTAAACACTTGTTGTAAATTCAAATTTCCTTCACAATTTTTGCTCACATTTCTCACACGCAACTTTAAATTTTAACGTACATAAATATGTGCATGTGTGTTTGCTTTTATGCACCGATTGCATAAACACTTACTTGGAGACTTTCCTCGAACGTACTTTCTATAATTAAATTCTGATTTGCGTTATCTCGTGCACAAATTTATTTATTTGTTATTTTCGCCTGATTTCTTCAACACTTGAATGAATCCAATATCGCGTAGTAATTCCGAAACACTTGTTTAATTCCACAATGACCGTTTGCTACTAACGTGCCTTTAGCGAGTTACTAGTCGAGCAGTGTGGCAAACGATTTGGTCGCTCGCAAAAGAGAGTCGTCGCGGAGCGTACGCGAGCGCCAAGCTAACGAAATTTGAGCAAGTCTCTCGGTCTGGCCAACTGAACGAAGAATATGGTGGAAGAGGCAGGTAAACAAAAAATACTCGTATTTATGGTTTTGTTTTGATTCCGATGTTCGAGCCGGTAGAGGCAGTGATTCGTTCAAGTGCTGCTTTATTTTAAAGCATGAGTGCGTACATTTAAAGCTGCTTAGTGCGCGGAAAAGGAACATAGCTAATATAAAATCATACCCTTTTTAACGCTTGAAAGGCTCTCTTCCTCATTTCTCTAGGTTATTTTTGCATATGCTAGTGGGTCCATTAATAATTACAATACTGTAAAATTTCTTTCTTCCGAACGCGTACTAGTCCCTCGTCCGTCCGTTTCTCCTCGAAATTTGGCATAGATTATTGTTTAAGGCAACGCCTTAAACATACAACAGTTATGGCTTTGTCAGTCGCCTTCATTTCATTTTCAGCGAGCAAAGTAACGAAGAACATTTTTACTAAGCTCAAGTATTAACAACTGTTCAAAATTCAAATTCATCGTTCAAATAATCAACGAAGTGGCATGTTTGGATTTGGATTAAAGTTTTAAACTTTTAGAGCTTACAATATATGTTATGTCGAAGAATATGTATGCGCATCTGGAAGTATTTGTATATCTCATACCATATCTTCCGTAAATCGACGTCTAACATATAAATATTTCGAATAAATGTTTGGAAATCGCTTGAGAGTATTTTTGTTCACCTTAGTTTAAACATATGTGTTAGTAAGACTTGATGCTGTTAGCGCAGGTTCAGACGAGTACTATTTTTGTCGAACAAACGGGGTTTTGTTGGCGAGTTGACGACGAGAAAAGCAGAAGGGACCGTGTGACTCGTCGCGTATATGAAGCGCACAAGAATTTGAGAATGTGATAAGAAAGACAAAACAGTGCACGTCTGAACGCCGTCTTATTAAGCGTTGACAAGGACTTTGCATATTCGAACAAGATTTCGAAAGGAAAGTCGCATGTAATTTAATCTGTTGTGTAATCGTCGCAAGTGGAGCTCACGCTGGCACAGAGCCCATATTTGGGGTAATTAGGGCATGTTTGTAACTAATCGGTGTGTGTATATGCGTTCAGTGCACATAAATTAATCTTGGGTAAAGCACAGGAAATGATTTTTATAGCTTAAACTGATCTCTTAAAACTTAAACGGTGAACTGCAGTGTACTTCCTTCTTTACCTAACCACTTTGCTTTGACGCACAGCCCACTTCAGCACGGATAATTTTAGTTAATTGACTGCCTCTTTCGAATTCATTAAAGTCAATAGATTCACTGAAACTCATTAATTTTCTATTCCCCATCGCATACTTTCACGGCAGCTCAAAGAACAACTTGTCATTTGAAATAATTCAGTAAACAATAAAGGGCATACAAGGGCGCAAGCAATGGCGATTGCCTCAAAGCCGTGTCAACTTGGGGAACCAGCTGCTCATTAGAGCAACCATACAGGTATACAATATTAATTTCTAATGATGATGCATGATCGCCAGCGGTGGCACGTTAGCGTGGCACCAAAGAGCTGTAGCCAAGTAAACGAAAAAATTAGTTGTGAACAATGTGGCAAACGCGTGTTGCACACGTTGCAAATATTGCATTAGGGAAATAAATTGATAGAAGAAGAGTTGAAATGATGCATGAGTCTGCGCCGCGCAGCGCAATTATCGACAACTGCCACATGCCACCATAGCGCCAATTGTGTCGCCGCTGCACAACGCCAACAATGCCATCATCATCTCTGGGGAGACATTAGAAATTGCCGCTGATGATGCTGTTGCTGTTTTGCTGTTGGCGCAACACGGCGGCATGTTGCACGCTCGGCGGTCATTAAACTATTCTCATTGCTGTTCCTATTTTTATTGATGTTGTTGCCGCTGGCGTCGTCAACTTATTATTAATTTATGCATTTGCCAACTGCACGTGCGCGTCTAAGCGACAACCCAAGTAGCGCCGTGACCAAAGCTCTCGCCCGAAGACGCACGACGAATGTCTGTTTTTGTTGTTTCTGTTAGTGCAGCCGATGACACTGGCAGTGATGAAAGGTTATTTAAGCGCAATCTCTACGAGGAAGATGAGCGGCAACAGCTTGCATCAAAGTACATGTTCAACACACAAATGCGAGAAATTGGAAATCTTTGAAGCTTTACCGTTAATGAATAAATGGTTTCGCCGTAATTGAATGGCGATCTTTATCGGCGCAGCTGATTGCATAAAACGGTTTATAATCAAAAAAATCAAAAATTAACAACAAAATAAAAATAGTAGTGCTTTGCAGGACTTGTCTGCCGAGCCGAAGTTTCTTTTCGCTTTTAGTAATTTCATAACGGATATTTTTGTAATCTACACAAGTGTGTTAAAAATAAGGAAGCTGTAGGTTCAATACGAATTTTTAATGTTGCTGCAACTTTAAAGTGACTGTTTGCGGTATTTCCATTACCCGACAACTACTAAAGCCTCACTTCGCTCCAAATTCTTAAAACTTCAGCGGAAAACGCAATGCTTCAAATTTAGAAAACAAGGCAACGCACAGTGGATAACGAAACCGAAATTAGTCAGCAACAGCGGCAAGCAAGCGCTCGGGTTCGTTACACAAGTGCAGCGATGCGCAACACTGCCACAAATTGGGACGAAGTCAACAAAGAAACAACAACAAACCAACCAAAAAGCGATTTAACTTTTAGAGTTATTTGTTGAGCCCTAACATCGGCTCAGCTTTGTTTATTGTATGTGTGTAGGTGCTTGTTGACAGCTAAGCCCACGACGAGGTGTGTGTGGCTATGTGTGAGTGTGAGTGTACAGCATTAACGCATGGTGAAGTTTTGCTGACTGATATTCGTTCATAGGAAACAATTTTATCACATTGTTTACCCCCTCCGCTCCCACCACGCAAGGCTTTGGTAAGCACATGTTTAAAAGCGCATATGACGCTACAAAGGCAACAACACACAGCTTAAAGCGTAACAAATCCAGAATGCAGTGTGCGTATTCAGCATGTTTGCCGCTTAGTCCCCTTTTGTTGTGCCACAATGTGGATTCCCAGGCACGACGAAGCGCGCGGGAGACGGATGTGTGCAGCTGATAGAATGTAGCTGCGTTGTTGTTGCTGTGTGGCTTGGCGGCCTATATTACACACCTTTAGAACGGAAGTGCATTTCCGCTCGCTGAGGAGCAAAGCTAGAGCGACTGAAGCATCGAATTCGTGCTCTGTGTTGCAACGATGCTCTTCTAAATCCGTAGAATTTTACGCTGATGACTAGAAAATTTATTGGCGATAAATAGTTTAAGCAGCCTTTGTAAATGTTCTATCTGCCTGAAAGTATATGCACAATGCGACATAGTAATGTAATTACATGGATTATTATCTGTAGCAAGGACAGAAAGCTGTATTAGCTTGTAAAAGAATTAGATTTGTGCAAACATTTGTTCGATTCGCCACTCTCCTAATTGTGCCAGCTAATATATCATGATGTTTAGTTGCTCATAAGTTGCCTAATGCGAACTGCATTCGCCAAGGTTGTGCTCGACAATTCTCCGCCGCATCAACGCCAGCCTTTTACTTCTCACAGATGTTCTAACGCTGTCAGCCAGCGTGAAGCTAATCCATATTTGGCAAGCGAACGGCATCTGTTGCACGCTGACCCAGTACTGAGCCCAAAATTAAAACCCGCCATAAGCCAATCACTGGTGTATCGGCGAAGGGTGCTGTAAGTGGCGTAGTAAAATATGCAAAACTTATGCTTGAAAATAAAGGAAAAAGCTCGCAAAACACAACTCAACAACGCTTAATTTGTTTCACGCTTTGTTGCGCACTACACTTGCGGATTTGTAGATACAAGCAGAAGAAGAAAAACTTTAGTTTAAATTAAACACGAAAAATTGATACAAACACACACACGCACACACATGTATGGAAATGTGTTGCACACCATTTTTCGACATGCAAATGTCTTGTTATGGTTTTTGTTCGACCTTTTCTGAACAGCGCCGCTTTATATACATGTTGCTCACCTATACTTACGAAGCCAGTGCCAGCGCTGAAGTTGCACCGTGTCTCGCGGGTCTGCGTGTGTTGGCTGTCCGCGCCGCTGATGAGGAAATCGCCGTTTGCCGATTGTAAAAGGGCATAAAACTCCAGCAGTTCTGGCCTGCAAATATTTTACGGCGCTTGTTGTTGCTCTGTGTGTATGATTTGCGTTGTTGTCGTACATTAATCTTGTTGAGCCACAAACGTAATTAGAGCCGAAAAACGTGAGCGCATTAAAATGAAAAACCTATTTTTGTGCGTGGCTCAGAGCTTGAAGCATATTTAAAGATTTGGAATCATAAATATAATATATGTATGGACATAGCTAATTTATAATAACGGTAAGTGCCACGATATATTCCTTCATTTGAATATCTTCATGGTTCTATTAATATGTGTACTGGTACGTCCAACAGTTAACAAATATAAATGACGATTGAACTCTTTTTCACATGGGCTCCACGAAAGATTGCT